CAATGGAGACCTCAGACTCAAGCAAAATTGGTGTCTCAAAACTCTTGAATTCACCTGAAATTTTTTTTTTTTTTTACTAACCTCGTGGTATCTAAAAATCAAATTGAGTTTTGATTAATTTAGAATCGAATTGGATCAAATCTCATATGATAATAAGCTCTTTAAGCATTTATTTTTCTATTCATAAAACTCGAATTCGAAATATTGATTAACGAGAACCAAATACCTTCCACTCAAATCAACGTGCAGTTGATAATTAGTTTGATTATGATTTAAGGAAAACCTAAATTTGTTTTGATTATATTTAAAGGAAAAACTAATTAGGGTTACATGGGGAAAATGACTTGACAAGAGGAAATCTATTACGCAAGTGAGAACTTTAAAACGCAAGATTGATGTGACTAATTTTAGTAAAACATGGGGGTTTAAGCAAAAACAAAAAATACTACTACTTTGGATAATTAATGGAATAAAAGTAGATTTCGTGCGATTTGGGCTAATGAAATTTCAAACGAGAGATTATGTGTGTTTTTGATTGGATAAGAAGGGGAATCTTCTTTTACTTGCAGTGTGTTTTCCTTCATTTTGTTTTCGTTAAGCTAATTAGTACTCTTTTCTTTTTTTCTTTCTTTTTTGCAAGAAAAGCACTATTCTAAGTCTTAAACATTAATTAGTTCCTACTTTATTTTGTCAAAAAAAGATGCAAAGCAGCCATCACTAATTTAATTGAGGATCTTTTGTGGAAATATTGTTTGATTATATAAATATATATTTAAAAATCACATAAAATGATTAGTAATCTTATGTTTTTTCATTTAAATTATACTATAATTTCTTGAATAAATAATACCTAACTTAATTTTTTTTTAAAATATTATATAATTCAAATTACATGACATTAATTATTAGATGTGGAATGAACCTCTAATATTAAAAGATTTATCTCCATTGCAATTGCTTTTATTTTAAAATATAATATAATTTAAATTATAAAATATTTTTATATTTTTTACTCATAAAACAAAATAAGTTAAAATATAAAAACTCAAAATATAAGCCTCACTAATTTCGAAAAAATTAATTATAAGTGATGAGCATCCTCATTGAGATTATTTTGCATGTCATAAAGTGATTTGAACCAATAATTTGTTATTTTAAGTGGTAAAAATTTAATTTTGTTATTTAAAATTTTTATTTTATATTTTATAAATAAAAAAATAAATAATAAAAAAATTTTGATTATAAAACCTGATATGAATCAATTCAAAATTATTCAAATCGAAGGAACAGTGCAAATAAAAGTGACTTGAACATGGACATTCCTCCTTATATATTTATAATCAAATATACCAAAAATAAAAAAAATAAGCATAGCCGAGAACATCCATGGTTATTACTTAAATCAACTCTCATTAGTCTTTACAAA